TGGTAGGTGGAGATGACAAATGTATGGATCACTGTGACCCGGTCCTCTTCTCCTATCTGGCTGTCCAAGGTTACTGAAGAGTCAAACAGGACCCCAAGGCTTCACAGCACTTTGATGAATGGGGGCTGCATGCCTTCAATAGAAGGTGGAAACAGCTTCTTGACTAGTTCTTCAAAGCATTTCCCCTTTCTGACTGTGTCACTTAACTCTGGCCTGGGTTCAGCTTGTACCAACTGCTCTTCATCCATAAACTTATTTCTTGTAGGTGATCTGATATTTAGTAATGGTGGTGGTTGCATCAGTTGACCATGAGATATATAGCTGAGTATCATCAGCATACTATTCACAGCCAAACGCAACACATCTCACTATCTCTCCCAGTGGTGCATGTAGATATTGAAGAGAAGAGGGGATAGTATGGGTCACTGTGGGACCCCACATATGAAGGCCTTTAAAAGAGAAGGAACAGTCACACTTCATCACTCTGTGCAGAGGAACAACTGAAGCCAATGTGATTGGCTTTGTCCTATCTACTGCTGTACCCTCGATGATCTCTGAGAGAGAAAAGAATGAAGCCATAGCTCCACCTGCTCCCTTCTATGGCAGAGGTGGCCAAACTTACTGGCCCTCCGAGCGACATATAACAATCTTCAGAAGTTCGAGAGCCGGGGCACATCTGCCGGGGGCCGGGACTTGGGGCTTCAGCCCAGCTCCTGATGAAGCCCTGAGTCCCAGCAGGTGCTGCCTGCAAAGCAGAAGCTCCAAGACCCCATTCCCCGCTGGGCAGAAGCCTCTACTCCACCCTGCTGCAAGGCAGAGGTCCTGCGCTCCGCCCTCTCAGTCTGATATGTGGAGAATTGAGGGATGTGGGGGGGCTCTGCGAGCCGCACTTTAACAGTAAAAGAGCTGCATGTGGCTTGCGAGCCACAGTTTGGCCGCCCCCGCTCAAGGGTCAGCAGGTAAGTAAACAGGACCTCATGATCAATGTTATTGAGGGCAGCTGATAGGTTTAATATCAGCATGGACACCTGATCCTGATATACCACCATCAATCAATGCAAAAACTGCAGTCTCTGTGCAAAGCACCCAAGTCTGTACCTAGACCCACCTACAAGCTTCAGCCAAAGCAATCTGACTTAGGCATCTAGGTGCTATGAGAGTTTTCTTGCCAAAACCTAAAGCACAACATGATCTACTGACTTCATAGATATGGTCATATGAGTATCCTTTCTATCATTATGTATGGCATATTTATATGCAGTAGAAGGTTTTTTGAATTATATGGCTACAGATAGGGTCCATTGCTGGTTGTAAAAATTTGAGACTCCTTGAATTTTGTAGAGAAGAATGGATTCTGCTGCTGCAAACAGTACATGTAATCACTGCCACAGAACGGTCATAAATTTCTAAGGACCTCAGTATATGTCCTGGTAAGGATTCCTAAATTTAAAATTAAAACTATATCATGTATTTCTCTTTAGCTCTCTTAACAACACTTCTTCAACTGCCTTGTTAGACAGTAAAATCTGGTAATAATTATCAAACACCATGCACACTATTTACAATAGAGTCATATTTCTTTTATTTCTTTTTTTGCATAAAAAGTAGAATGCTGCTGAAAAGTACCCAAATGTCTGCTGTGCTCCATGCCAATACAGCAGCTCAGCCAAAAATGCAAAGAGAAAAGTTTGCCAAATAAAAGAAAACATAACAAATTGGTAATGGTTTCTATCTTGACAGAAAACGAAAATTATGCCTCAATGTGTGGCCACTCATGTGGACACATAAAAATATCTTAGAGACAATAATTTTACCTCAGATAACACACCCTGACAGTAGAGCACAGCATACTGGCTAGCTTTCACTTCCCTTAAAAGCAGCAACCATGACTGACGAAGTGGCCTAGGAATCACATAATTTATGCCCATCACACAAGCACATGCCATGCACTCATAATATTTACTACAAATCATCTTAAGTACAAACACTGCCTTTTGAGGGGTGGGTTGCAAGTAAGAGACAAGGAATTTTTAATGCAAATTTGCCACAATTGGATCAGTCCCAGTCCAGCTGAGGACACTGAAAGAAAAGGAAAAGAAAGAGCAAACCTTTCTCCCAATAAAACAAAGTTTAATTTTAGTTTCCAAAACACTCTAGTGTTGTGTATATATATAGTTTATATACTGCTTAGGGCTTATCTACATTGCTCCGCTTTGTGTACTACAGGAGTGCACACCTTGCCAGTGCAAACTTAAAGGTTTATGTATTATTGTGGGCCAGGATTGTATGTAACCTCTCGAGGCGGGAGATGTGACAGATGTAAGTCCAAGGGTTTCAAAGGACTACACTGAACAATGTGCCAGACAAGAACAGACTTTTGAAACAGAAAGTGTTAAGTGGTTTTCCTGGGGAGTATTTAGGGGGAAGTGAATTCAAATGCTCCATCTTTGGTTATACAAAAACCCAACCTTTTGAAACTATGCCCTGTGGAGAGGATCTTGTCTGCTGATTACCTGTTACCGAAGACCAAGTTCAGAGGCCTGAGCTGTATAAAAAAAATGGCTGCTCTGCCCAGCTTGGGTTCTGGTTCTGAATCTGAGACAGTTATGAACTTATAACCACGGGGAAAACCTACCACAGTCCCAGGTTGGAGTTGGGTTGACTTCTGGTAAGCTTTTTAGCATGTGTGGTTATTTTATGGTTGAATATGTTTTCTCTGTAATGCTCAAGAATAAACATGCTTGCTTATAAAGAGCTGTTGTGTGGTAAATTATAACTACAGGCAATTGCGCTGTTCATAACCTCTAGAAAGAAAGCAAAGCACAGACACTGGCCTTTTGGGTGGTCTGGCTTGCTGGGGATATCACTGTAGGCTAGGAATTGTGCAGCCTGGAAAAAGCCCAATCAGGAGGGATAGAGATGCAGGTCTCTGCCCAAGAGAGGTGACAGCTGAGGAGCCAGGAGCCTAGACTGGGAGCCCTGAGGGACCATGGAGAGCAAATACAGATGTAGTTGCCCTGAACTGTGACACATATTTACACAAAACTGGTGTAAATTGTCACTGCTCCTTTTAAGTCTGTGGAGCTATACCAGGGGTGGCCAAACTTACCGGCCCTCTGAGCTGCATACGACAATCTTCAGAAGTTTGAGAGACAAGGCACACATGTCGTGGGCCAGGGCTTGGGGCTTCAGCCCCGAGGAAGGTGCCTCATGGGGCTCGGAGCTTCAACTGGGCTGAAGCCCCGAGACCCACCTCCCCGCTGCAAGGCAGAGGTCCCAAGCTTTCCTCCCCTCCCCCAGTCTAATAGATGAAGAATGGGGTGAGGGCATGGGGGCCTCTGCGAGCTGCACTTTAATGGTAAAATAGCCAGATGTGGCTCATGAGCCACAGTTTGGCCACCCCTGAGCTATACACTAGCTGAGGATGTGCTTCCTGGCTTATTAAACTAACAAACTTAGGTATTTCCAAAGTACCATTATGTCAAAAAGCATGGAAATAGTCATAATAGTAAAATAATACTGGCCCATATATTTCTGTAGAAGAAATGCCCCCTGTGAAGTGAGTATATGGTTCTGGAAGTCAGGACTTCCTTATGTCAACAGTAAAGCAAAAATCAAGTCCCAGTAACAGGAATGGAAAATGCAGTAGGAATGGGGCATGCCAGTGTGGCTCCTTCTGCTAATATATTTATATATCTTGCGAATACATGTGAAGATAAATAATAAATATGCTATTACACAGATTGGCATAGGCATAAACACTTTACTCATATATACATAGTATATAAAGAAGTGATGAGCAAAAGTTTCACACGAATATCTAAAAGTTAGGTGGTTATTTTTACTACCCATAATCTGACAGGTCCTGACTCTCTTCTTCCTTGGGTCACACCTCATCCCTACCAATAGGCCGTGGTTCCCCTAAATTCTGATGCTACTCACCAGCCTCTTCAAAGGGGCATTGTCTGCTCTTTTCTTCTTTCCAAAGCAACAACAAGGAAGTAAGATATTGATATCACTTAGCTGAATCCTGCTATACTAGCTCACTGCAAAGTTGGTGGCTCTGTAGCTTCTGAAAAGTATGCTTCAGAGTGAGTACGATTACATTAGTTGCTTTTTTCTCCTGCTGATAATAGCCCACCTTAACTGATTACTCACATTATAGTTAGTATGGCAACACCCATTTTTTTCATGTCCTCTGTGTATATATATCTTCCTACTGTATTTTCCACTGCATGCATCCGATGAAGTGGGTTTTAGCCCACGAAAGCTTATGCTCAAATAAATTTGTTAGTCTCTAAGGTGCCACAAGTACACCTCGTTCTTTTTGCTGATTCAGAAAAACATGGCTACCACTCTGAAACCTGTCACATTAGCTGTGGAATTTCAGATGCAGGTAATGTACATTTGCATGGGATTAAAGTACAGAATATCACTAAGGGCTTGTCAATACAGTGATTTAGTGCATGGCAAGTCAGAGGGTGAATCTATAATGCTGTAGCCTGCTGCATACTAAGTGGCCATGTGTTGCCTAGTTTTTTCAAAACAGCAGTAGATTAAAGCGTACTAGGGAACTTTTAGTGTACAGCAGCAGGGTCCACATAGCCATTTAGCACATGGCAGGCTAGTGTGCTGTAGACTTGCACGCTGGCTTGCTGTGCATTAAATAACTGTATAGACATGCACTAAATTTGAAGGAAACAGAATCTCAGCTGACATGCTACTGCTTCCTGCTACTTACTTTGGGGAGAGGGTGACTGGCAAAGAAAATGAACTACCTTGCTTCCTCCTGAAGAGGTCCTGAAGTAGGAATAGGGAAGCAGACTGTGTAACCTTCTCCAGAAGAGAACCTACCACTACAGGTAAGTGCGATGGGGGGGAAAAACAAAACAAAACAAAAAAACGGTTCTGGTTCAAAGATGAGTGAAAACTTGGAGTAGGCCTTATTTTTCCCTAATCAGATTTGCCCTTCCCGAATATAATGCATTAAAAATCCTTACCATCCTTCATCATCCTCTACTTCAGGTTCAGACATTTCATTTTCAGGAGTGTCTGCTATTGCCTGAGTTAGCTTTGATTTGAATCGGTCCAGCAGCGCCAGTGTCTGAAATGAAATATCTTTTGTTTTACTGAAGTTCTGTAACAATAAAATACGCAATACACTGACGTTTGGATTAGTTGAGGAGTAGTCAATTGAGGTGGATAAGAAATTGTTCAAAAAACATATTTGAGGAAGATACTCCCACACCGTTCACGAATTCTCCGTCCCCATCAGTGATTACCATGTTGCCTTTTTGACATGACCATATGATATAAATGTTGGGAGGCAAGGTATGGTGTAACAAACTGAATGAAACCATTGGCTTTTAATGTGGTCATTCAAGTACATTTCCTATCATTTTAACAAACAATAGATGATAAATTAATAATCCTCCTGCAAAGAACAACCTCCAGATAATTTATGAAAGTGGATATAAACAAACTGTATATTGCTATTAGTATATTAGTAAGAGTTATAAATATTAATACCTAGAAGTAATGTAAGGAATTTGTTATAGGTTATGAACTCTGGTCAGTCATTTACAATGCCTTAAGCATATTTACTTAAAGGAGCAGTTACTTACTAAGAGTAAGATAATCAATAAACAACGCAGACTACGGAGGACAATTATACTGTGGAGATTTGTCATTTTTCTCTAGTGAAGAAATCAATGAAATAAATTAAAAATAATTCAGACTTTGATGTCCTAATTTGGTTGACATTTACATACTGTATTTTACAGTGCTGATACAACCTTTCCAATTCTGTACTAACATTTCCAAAAAATTGTAACAGTATGTGAGGGGAAATATTTTGTGTGTATATCTATATCTATATCTATCTCACAAAAAATTCTCACAGCAAAATAACTGACCAAGTATTATTATTTTACCAACTACAATTGGTTAATAATTTAGATAGGTTAATAACTAAATCACACAGTGTTTTATTAGCATGTGCTGCAAAGAGCCGCAGGAGGCACATTAAAGAGCCACCTGCGGCTCGCAAGCCTCAGCCTGAGTATCACTGCTGTAACTGTACTGATACATTATATCATAATCACAGTCACTTAAAGCTGTTATTTTGTATGGTAAAAGACCTCTGTATGACTGCTTTTATTTTTTAAATCTAGTTCTAAAAGTAAAAAAGAAAACTTTTTGAAGTCTCTCCCCAAAAGTTAAAAAATGGGAATCAGAAACAGAAAATATCATAAATGTGCAATGTAGTCAAGTTTCCTTGTGCAAGCAACCTTATCTTTGGGAACTTCCCGGCTTATGAGTGCTTTCACTACTTTAGTGTAGCATTAACAATAGGTTTTTTTGTTTGGTCTGGTTTTTTGGTTGGGAAAGGCGGTTGCATTTAACGTCCATATTTTGTGTTTAAGAAAAGTGGGAGGGGAAGAGAGAGTCGAAAAATTTCAGAACTAAAGATTTTGCACAGCATAATAGCTCCACAGCAAACAAGTTGCTTCCCTCCTCCTACTCCCCCAGTGGAGGCTTTGTCTGTGTGAGCAGGGAAAGAAAACCCATGGCCACTTTAAGGGTTGTAAAATTCATTTTGTTGCATTAGCAGATATCCAGTACACGTTCAACAGGGGGTCTGGCTCCCTCATAAACTGGAGTTAGAAGTGGATTAGGAGAAGATTAGTTGATGCTGGTCCTGCTTTGAAAAGGGGGTTGGACTAGATGACCTCCTGAGGTCTCTTCCAACCCTAATCTTCTATGATTTTATAAGAGATCTCAAAGAAGATGGGAAAGGAGACTGGGGCTCCTCATGTTTGGTACAGTGAGGAAACAATCCCCTTTCCCTAGCCCATTAACCCTCTGATGAGGGCAATGGCATCACAATAGCAGTACTGGGACCCAGCAGAAGGGAAAGGTGTCTGTGTGGCCGGGGGGGGGGGGGGGGGCTGATGGTGGTCCTCCTCCAGGTAGTACACACTACAAAGGAAGGATGACCTACACTGGATGAGTTATTGCTGGATAGTTCCCAGATATGTTACTTAATAAAGTTGTGGCCTTGTTAAACTATGTTCCTGGTGTCTTGCCGGTCTTCCTGCAGAGTCAAGGACAATGATCATACTGTAGGTATTCACCTCAGCTGATTATGATCCACTTTGCCAATGGAACTTTAATTTCTCTCACTGAGAGTTAATAGCCTTTGGAGCTACAAAATTTCCATGAACTTTCTAGTTTAGAGCTAAATCAGCTTCATGAACTAAAAGCTCCATCATTCCTTGCTATGAAGTTATTAAACTTCAAGTTTCCAATCTCTTTCAGTAGCAGAACATTTATATTCATAGAATCATAGGACTGGAAGGGACATCAAGAGGTCATCTAGTCCAGTCCCCTGCATTCAAGGCAGGACTAAGTATTATCTAGACCAGTGTTTCCCAAACTTGGGACGCCGCTTGTGTAGGGAAAGCCCCTGGTGGGCCGGGCCGATTTGTTTACCTGCCCCGTCCGCAGGTTCAGCCGATCACGGCTCCCACTGGCCGCAATTTGCTGCTCCAGGCCAATGGGAGCTGCTGGAAGCGGTGGCCAGTACGTCCCTCGGCCCGCGCTGCTTCCAACAACTCCCATTGGCCTGGAGCAGCGAACCGCGGCCAGTGGGAGCCGCGATCGGCTGAACCTGCGGATGGGGCAGGTAAACAAATCGGCCTGGCCCACCAGGGGCTTTCCCTACACAAGCGGTGTCCCAAGTTTGGGAAACACTGATCTAGACCATCCCTGACAGATGTCTAACCTGCTATTAAAAATCTCCAATGATAGAGATTCCACAACCTCCCTAAGCAATTTATTCCAATGTGTAACCACCCTGAAGAGTTAGGAAGTTTTTCATAATGTCCAACCTAAACTGCCCTTGCTGCAATTTAAGCTCACTGCTTCTTGCCCCATCCCCAGAGGTTAAGGAGAACAATTTTTCTCCCTCCTCTTTGTAACAACCTTTTATGTATTTGAAAACTGTTATTATGTCCCCTCTCAGTCTTCTCTTCTCCAAACTAAACAAACCCAGTTTTTTCAATCTTCTCTCAGAGGTCATGTTTTCTAGACCTTTAATTATTTTTGTTGCTCTTCTCTGGACTGTCTCCAGTTTGTCCACATCTTTCCTGAAATGTGGCACACAGACAGGACATAATACTCCAGTTGAGGCCTAATCAGCATGGAGTAGAGCGGCAGAATTTCTTCTTGTGTTTTGCTTACAACACTCCTTCTAATACATCCAAGAATGAAGTTTGCCTTTTTTGCAACAGTGTTGACTCATATTTAGCTTGTGATCCACTATGACCCCCAGATCCTTTTCTGCAATACTCCTTCCTAGGCAGTCATTTCCCATTTTGTATGTGTGCAATTGGTTGTTCCTTCCTAAGTGGAGTACTTTGTATTTGTCCTTATTGAATTTCATCCTATTTGCTTCAGACCATTTCTACAGTTTGTCCAGATCATTTTGAATTTTAATCCTATCCTCCAAAGCACTTGCAATCTCCCTCCCGCCCCCAGCTTGGTATCATCTGCAAACTTTATAAGTGTACTCTCTATGCCCTTATTTAAATAATTGATGAAGATATTGAACAGAACCAAACAACGAACTGATCCCCGCAGAACCATACTTGATATGCCCTTCCACTCTGGGAATGGTTTTCCAACCAGTTATGCACCCAGCTTATAGTAGCACCATCTGGTTTATTTATGAGAAGGTCATGCTAGACAGTATCAAAGTCAAGATATACCACATCTACTGCTTCCCCCCCATCCACAAGGCTTGTTATCCTGTCAAAGAAAGCCATCAGGTTGGGCCTGGTCTACACTACGAGTTTAGGTCGACTTTAGCCACGTTAAATCGAATTAAGCCTGGACACGTTCACACAACAAAGCCCTTTCTTTCGACTTAAAGGGCCCTTTAAACCGGTTTCTTTACTCCACCTCCGACGAGGGGATTAGCGATAAAATCGGCCTTAGGGGGTCGGAATTGGGGTAGTGTGGACGGAATTCGACGTTATTGGCCTCCGCTCTGGACAGCACTCTCAACTCAGATGCACTGGCCAGGTAGACAGGAAAAGCCCCGTGAACGTTTGAATTTCATTTCCTGTTTGCTCAGCGTGGAGAGCACAGGTGACTACGCAGAGCTCATCAGCACAGGTAACCGTGATGGAGTCCCATGATCGCAAAAGAGCTCCAGCATGGACAGAACAGGAGGTACGGGATCTGCTCGCCATATGGGGAGATGAATCAGTGCTGGCCGAACTCCGAAGCAGTAAACGAAATGGCAAAATATTAGAAAAGGTCTCCAAGGCCATGAAGGAAAGAGGCCATAACAGGGAAGCACAGCAGTGCCGCGTGAAAATTAAGGAGCTAAGGCAAGCCTACCACAAAGCCAGAGAAGCAAACGGAAGGTCCGGGGCTGAGCCGCAAACATGCCGCTTCTACGCGGAGCTGCATGCCATTCTAGGGGGTGCAGCCACCACTACCCCAACCATGTGCTATGACTCCCTCACTGGAGAAACACACAGGGAAGAGGGTTCGGAAGAGGAGGATGGAGGAAATGTAGATAGCTCACAGCCACAAGGAAGCGGAGAAACCGGTTTCCCCAACAGCCAGGATATGTTTGTCACCCTGGACCTGGAACCAGTAACCCCCGAACTCACCGAAGACCCTGAGGGCACACAGGGGACCTCTGGTGAGTGTACCTTTGTAAATATTACACATGGTTTAAAAGCAAGCGTGTTTAATGATTAATGATTAATTTGCCCTGGCAATCGCTGCCAGTACAGCTACTGGAAAAGTCTGTTAACGTGTATGAGGATGGAGCGGAAATCCTCCAGGGACATCTCCAGAAAGCTCTCCTTCATGTACTCCCAAAGCCTTTGCAAAAGGTTTCTGGGGAGGGCTGCCTTATCCCGTCCGCCATGGTAGGACACTTTACCACGCCAGGCCAGTAGCACATAGTCTGGAATCATTGCATAACAAAGCATGGCAGCGTATGGTCCCGGTGTTTGCTGGCATGCAGACAACATTCATTCCTGATTGCTCTTTGTTATCCTCAGGAGAGTGATATCATTCACG